TGGGTGTGTTAGTCTTGGATGTTATTTAATTAAATATTGTTTAATTTTCACTTTTTATGAAGATTGTGACATTATTTTTATAACATTAACATAGTTTTTCGTGCAACCTTCATGATAATTTTTTAAAATATATATATTTGACTGCTTTTCTATATTATTATATAATTAAATAAAAATTTAATTTTAAAAAATAAAGTTATTAATCTCAGCTATATATACATCATCTCAGTCATAGACATAATAAGTTAATTGATTTTAACTCGAGTCAATTCAAACATCATCATCTCAATATTTAAAAAAATATAAAATAATATTGTTTTTAATTTTTTTATCAAATTATATTTTGATCGTGTCAATTAAGTAATGTTGAATCAACTATTATATAATTTAATTTAAAAATTTAACTAATAAAGAGATTATGTTAAATTTAATAACATCGACACAAGACTTTATTATAGAATACCGTGAGTGGTATTAGCCTTATATTTTTTTAATGCATTCATGATAAAGTTAATAAAATATATTTTTTATATACAATTAAAACTTAATTTCATGATTATGATAAAGTGTTGGTTAGAAAACAAATATTATGGTACAAAAATGTCAAGAAAAAAGGAGCACGTTGATAAGATTAAGGGGTTTTAATTAGATTACAATTTTTTATCATTATTTCAAATCATATAATTGTTTTATATTCATTTTAACTGCTTTTTATTTTTATTAAATAAATAAAATGGGATAAGAAGTTATTATTTTTTGCAAAAAATAATAACAAGAAGAAAATAAGGAATTATACTAGAAAATTATTTAGTTTCATTGATATTTAAATTATTATTTTTCTTGAAAGAAAAATATTTTCATAGAATTAAATAAAAAAATCAAAGGGTTTCCACAACACGAGATGTTGTATTTTAATATACATCTGCCAATTGGTTTCCTAACTCAATCTTGGATTAGAGTTATCAACTCTTTTTTAAAATTTATTAAGAAATATAATTATTAATTTATTCTATTAAACACGATTTTGGAGAAAAAAGCAATTAGTTAGCTGGATTCCTTTAGAAAAAAGAAAAGAAAAAACTAAATGTGGTGTTTTGAGTGTTCTCTTGAATAACAAAGTTTTATTGAAATGTTTTTGACCTTCCATATTATTATTAAAAAGTTAATCAGGTTGAAAAAGTTTTTTTAAATTTAATTTTATATTTTTAAACTGATTTAAATTTATTTTAAATTGAGAAATTGCTTTATTAAGGTTTTTCTAAGTGAAAATAGGTAAAATAGAAAAAACTAAATTGCTTTGTTTGTAGAAAAAAAGTAGAAATGATGACAACATGAGAAACAAGGCGAGGCGCACAAGCCTTGCAAGTATGTTGGGCTAGGTGCATGGGACCCGTCTTTTTCGTTAAGGAGCCTCATGCTTTTCTATTTTTTTCTAATTTTTCTTGGATTTTGATTGAAATGAACTATAAAAAAAATTGATATGATATTTGAAGAATTTTGAGAGAAGTCTGTTACTTTTCTTAACATTACCAGCAATATGTTTGTACAATAAATAGGGAAGAGAAGCTAACCTACTGACCCTCAAAACAAGAAATAAATACTATATAGGAAAGTATCCTACACTAAACTAGAAAGCAATAATCTAGAGAATCTAGATAGTTAATACCAGATTTCTCTTTCCTAAACCATATATACCAATATTTCTCTAAGATCCTAACTAATTTTGAGATTGATTTCCACACTCCCCCTCAAGCTGGGTTGTATATGTTATACATGCACAGCTTGTGACTCAATTCTTCAAAATTAGTT